AGAAATAAGAATTTCCCGCTAGAACCAGCAGAGAGATTTTCAATAGCAATGATGACCTGAAATCAGATGCCCAACCCTCTAAACTGGGAGGCCAGACATTTCTGTTGGTTCAAGTCATAGCAGCACTAAGAAACCAAAGTAGTAGGTCTGGGATGGAGCATGACATTTTGTATTTCTAACCAATATGTTTAATTTCTAAATTCAATTTCCTAATTGCATTTGTAATAACAACATGCTAGATTAAGATAACCTCCAACAAACAAACACTTTTCCAGTTCTGCAAACCCCTTCATCACCCCAAAGATTCCCACCTCTCTTCTGGTGTGTGCACCAGGTGTTCTTCTGTCTGCAATCAAGCTCTTGGTGTTTGGGTGTCATCGTCTCAATTTGACAAGGTTCTCAGAAGACAGAGGTCCTGCCAGGCCTGCATGGGTCTTTCCCTCGCAGCTCAGCTCAGGGTTTGCTCTTGATATTATTCTTATTGATATATTTTTAAGACTGATACATGGAATGAATGTCCAGTGTGGAGAATAATCTGGGTAAAAGGAAGCACCACAGCTATTTCAACTCACTCATCTATGAGGTGGTTTCCAAAAATTCACGATAAACTCCATTATCTTATATTCCATGTTTTCACAAACGTATGTTTCTGAGCTTAAAAAACAACCCCACACAGTCTCACCATCACCAATAATGACCACCCCTAAACAGACACTTAGATGCTCGTGAGAAGGAAGAATAGTGTTGTCAGAATAAATCAAAACGCCCTTTTCGTTGTTTATAAAGGGCAAGGCGACAGCTGCTTTGTCTGCCTGTCTTGAAAGGGATCCTTGAAATCGTGCTGATCCTGAGCCCTTGCGCTAGCAGTTTGGGGTGGGTATGGTTATCTCCAGGGATCAGCTGAGCCCAGTCTCCAATTTTCCAATGCGGACATGCCCCTGTGATCGAGGACGTGATAACTGTAAACAAAATAGTTAGCATCCTATGGCCTCCTATTTGTGGTGTTTTCAGGTGTGTCCAACTGGACTGTGCTCCACAGGGGGCTCCAGGGCTGACCACCAGGACTTTCCTTCAAGGTGCCTTTGGGTGAACTTGAATCTCACCTGGTGGTTAGCAGTGAAACATGCTGTTTGGGAACTTCACGCCGTTAACTGAGAAGTCTATCTTACTATACAGCCCTCTATTGCAAGGAGTTACACCAGAAGAACATTGCTTTTCTTTTTCCTTGGTATATATATTAGGAGACATTTCATCATGATTCTATTCTCCTATGGATTACTGTATATTACTGTACTCGGTAATAAATCAATGTTCTTTTTTCCCTATATATAAGTGAAGAGGTGTGTCATCTTGGTAGAACTTTTACTTCTGATTGTCATTATTTACTGAAATGAAATTTCACCTTCCCTTCCCTCTACGGGAATTTAGCTTACAGATACACTCACCATTGTGCGCTCAGGGGGAGAAAGGCACAGAGAAAAAGGCAAGTGTCCTTCACTGGACACAGCTAAACTAAATGATGAAGCGTCCGTCCAAGAGGACACTATGCAGCTCTTCAAGAGAATGAGGTGGACTTCTTTGTATCGACGTGGAAATGCTTCCAAGACACACTGGCAAGTGAATCAAGCAAGGTGCACATTTTCTGCTTTACTGAAAGGACGTGTGTGCAAGACACTTGTCGGGGCACAAGGGTTTCCGTGGACCCACAAGAAGTGGTTCATGGTGATTACCTCGGGGAAGAGGATTTCATGGTTGTGTCGGGAGCATATGAACGACTTCTCTTTTCTTTCCTTTCACTGGTTGTTTGTCCGAAACTATGAGGCTGTAATATTTTATAATTAATAAGCAGCTGAAAGGAAGAGAAAAGGCAACCTCCATGGAAACTTGAAGTACTTCACTAGATAGTGAGTTCTAGAAGCAACATGAAAACAGAGGTTTTGTTCAGAAACATATCCTCGTGCTTAGAACAATATCCTGCACACAATAGATAGATGCTCGATGAAGATTTGTTTGAAACCGACGTTCTTTTCGTCTCTCCGAAAGGGTTGGGCTTTGAGCTTAGCTGTGATGACGAAGGAGGTTTCTGATCATTTTCCTGTATGTCTTACATCTTTTCTCCCTGGTGCCTTGATGCAGAGCACGATGGTGGCACAATGGTGATGAGTGGGGCTGTGATCTGTAAAGTCAGCAGTTTAAAACCACCAGGGGCTCCTCCAGAGACAGACAGGGCTTTCTGCTTCCATAAACAGTTACAGTCTCGCAAACTGACAGGGACAGTTGCTGTGAGTGGCCCTCGGATCCCTGGCAGGGAGTTCGATTGTTTGGTTTGGTTCCAATGGCTAGGAATGACCTCTCCTCTGCTGTCACGCCTTCACTTACTGGAAATTGTTCACCTTTCCCAAGCCAACTCCAAACACCAATACCCAGGGGGGTTTTTGTTAGACCTACCTGGATAAATCTCTCCCCAATTTGTGCTCTCAAGGAAGCCCTGTGAACCTACTTTCTATCACTAGTATTGACTGTAGATGTATTTTGCTTTAAACACTAGATCCTTTTAATCTAGAACTGTGACGTCTTAGGCTAAAAAGTCACGCATAGAGTGTACCTATCAACCCATTTTATTTTAAGTAACGGGGTTGTGATAATTTAACGGGGTTAAGTTCTTTGGATATTTCCCAGAGGTCCTGTGCAGTAGTTCTCAACCTGTGGGTTGTGACCCCTTTGGAGGCTGAACGACCCCTTCATAGGGGTTGCCGGATTCATAACAGTAGCAAAATGACAGTAATGAAGTAACAACAAAAATAATTTTATGTTTGGGAGTCACCACAATATGAGGAACTGTATTAAAGGGTCACCGCATTAGGAAGGTTGAGAACCACTGTGTTAGTCTTTTCACTTGTCTAAATTCTACCTGTCCTAACACCTGCCTCTGTTCCCTCTTCCTATAGAAAGTCTTCCCCTTGACCCAAGCTCAAAGGACAAACTCTTTCTTTTTAATTATTGTAATGGTTAATGTCAGAACAAATTGTTGACAGATGATGTGCATCACACACTTAGCATTTAATATCACTATTCCTTTTGATATTAGAGGCCTTAGATTCTAAGCATGTAATTGATTTTCCTCAGGCTAGGGACTCATCACACCAAGCCACACAATTACAGTGTCAAGCTAGTCCTTGGTTTCCAAAATGATAAATAAATCAGGGAAACTGATGCACTAGAAGAAAAAGCTGCCAAAAATAGAGTTGGAAAAGTTTCTAGGTGTTTCTGTACCTGTATTGACAAAAGGATGTTGCTTTCATTAAGAAATCAAGCAGTCGTATAGCTATCACTTTCTAAGGATGAGACTTAGTGCAAACTCTATCCCTTCCCTAGTGCCCACTCTCCACATCTGTGAAAACGAGGCAGAGACATCCCCTCTAATTGTGCCAGGGGCGGAATCAACTCAACTAAAAGGTGGGTTTGCATGAGTACCAACCTGGAGTTCTCTCTAGCGCCACACAAGCATGTCACCACCCTCGCCTTCCAACCCCCATCACCATCTTGACTTTGTCTCTATTTCCTTTCCCTTCCTTTTCTTCCTTCTTTTCGCTCTCCCATTCTGTTACATGAATAGAAAATGCAACCACCATGGAAACTTTAAAGACATTGCCGGATAGTAAGTTCTAGAAGTGACATGAAAGCGGAGCGTTTGTTGGTTTTGTTCCGCGCTATATCCTTAGTGCTTAGAACACCATAGATAGATGCTCAATAAATATTTGCATTTGAAACCCACGTTCCTTCCTTGCCTCCCTCCCTTTCTAATTCTTTCACCAAGCTTTAAATAAAAACCTTCTAAAAGGCTACTTCAGTTTTTTTTATCCTTCGATCATTCCTATAAGATGACACACCTCTGGTGTACTCCAAATTAGAATGAAAGAAATTGCAGAGCCCCGAGAGAAGGGGGGCGCAAAGTGCCTTCAAGAGTATGTTCTTTGTAGAAGTAGATAAGCCTACAGTAGACAAGAAGACAGGGTGGTTCATCGTTATTTGGGTAGTGGAATGAAATAAAGATTAACCACCCTGCTTTCTTTCACCTTCATGGAAATGTGAACTTCAACGCTTCCTTTACCATTTTCAGCTCTAGGACACTTGAAAAATGGATACCAAACCCTTCACAAGCGAGTTCTTCTTAACATTCAGAGTGTCACAAAGCATTGGTCTCAGACAACGGAATAAGCACAGAACACATTTACAGTCTTGTAAGACCATGAACAGGAGGTGCTGTGGAGTAATAAACACACTGGTTTTTCACTTTGGCAAAGTGAGGTATTTACATTCTTGAATGATCTATTCTTAAAAACAAAACAAAAGTAAAACCTTGGTTCCCTAATAAAATCATTAGGGAAATTTTGTCAAAATTTATTTTGACAACCTAAGCTTGTCCAAGCAGTGGCTTTCGGGCAAGCTGTCTGTTTGCCTTGTGGCCCTTCCTGAGAAAATGCCCGGCTCTTGAAGGAGCTTGGGTCTTTGCTCTTGGCCTCTGAACCAATAGCTCCTTGTTTAAAGCCCTTGGCAATGGATGAGGCCCCGGAAACATCAGGGACATTTGAACTGAGCATACGGCACGTTGGAATCTGGTCTCAGGATCTCGCGGCCATGAGAACAAGTTGTGCAAACATACATGTTGATCGTTTCCTTAGTGGTTCCTTCCTCCATACGACTCTGGCTCAGCAAGATATAAACAACCTGAATTTCTAAAGGCCCATTGCTCACCTCCACAAGGGTGGTTCATCTAAGCCTAAATCGCTGTGAGACGATTGTTTTGGTGACCAAAGTTTTTCTGAACAAGCTGAGTTGTTTCAGAGAGTGAAGTTCCTGCTTCTTTTCTTCCTTTCACTACATGATATATGGATTTCAGTTTTGCTCTCCAACAACTCTATTGTTTGATCTCAAGGCTCCCTGGGAGAAACGGAACATAAATCAGAAAGGAAAGGTGAAGGGGGAAGGAGGCCACTTACCGTCTTCTGAACCACCAAGACCATTATGGTTGCCACGGCAAAAATGAGACACAGTGCCAGGGTGGCGGTTGTGAAGTAGAAATAATTCCGGCTCACGGTTCCCCAGTGGCTGGTGACGGAGCCTTCTGGCACATGCATGGCTGTGTCCTGAGAAGGGGCCACGCTGTTGAATACTTCGTGCAGCTGGGGATCCATTCTTATATAGTCTTCCACATCTCACACCTTATCTCTCCTCATCTGAGTCCGTTCTGGGCCCATCTCTGTTCCAAGAAGGATTCTCCCCCAGCATCCTGGATCATGTGACTTGGAAAAAAATCTTCACCGGCTGCTTGGAGAAGAAACCCTTTTCTGGGGGCGTGAGGCGAAAGGCAGAAGCATGGGTGGGGGAGAGGTTCATTTTTCATCGCCAGGGATTAATTTGAGTGTGGAGAAACCGTAGCTACAGAGAAGGTAGCTGATGTCAGAGGGCACATAGGAAAATGACGGTTCCTCTCGTGTGTGTGCGCGCGCACGCGCGCACGCACGCGCATGTGAGCATATGTGTGTGAGAGAGAGGAGAGAGGAGAGAGTACACGAGCGACTTCTGCTTTGCTTAGTTTCAGCCACAGAACGCCTTCCTGCTTGACAAGCTGTTCATTGTCTCCATCGAGGCTCGCTGCTCAGAAGACCTCCTTGGACAGTGTCCCTTTCCTGAGACATTGCCTCACTCCCTACTCACCTCCAGGAGACCCGATTCTTTGGACCGCAGCAGAATGACCTCAAAGGGGTCCATGGACAAGGTCAGCTTCTGTTGAGAACTGGAATTCTTTCAAAATCTGGGGGAAAGAAGAACCCTTGGCTGTGGATTCATCCAAAGAGAGGGAAGCCCATGTCCATTTTGAAATGGGGACAGGTGATAAGCGACTGTCACAGAGCAGGAACCCAGCAATACCAGTCTTCTGAACCAATACTGCAGAGTGTTTGGGGATCTGTTAAATTTGCAAATAAACCCGACATGAAATGTAGAAAAAGGGGAAGGAATTGCAGATGGGGGTGGAAGTTGGGAGGTGGGACAGTGTGTGTGTATGTGTGAATTTGTGGTCTGTGAGGTGGTTTTTTATATATATATTTATGGGAGGTGTGTGGTGAGTGCATATAGTCTGTGCTTGTGGGGTGTAATGTATGTGTACCGTATGTTTTGAGTGAGTGTGGTGTAGGTGTATGAGTGCATTTGCGGTGTGTGATGTGGTACATGTGTGCTATGCACAGTGTGTGCGTGGGGGGCTGGGTGGGGTGGGAACCTCTACTCTCTCAGTCGTAGTTCTTGGAGCTTATAGGCATTGCCTCACTCCCTACTCACCTCCAACCACGGAGGCAGGTCATTTAGTTCTGCTTACACGTGGGGAAATTGAGGCTCAGTGAGGATTCAAACTGTCAAAACCAAAGTCAGGGATGTTCAGGGAAAGAAACTGGGTGCACAACCCCATCCATTTGGCCAAAATCCATATGATAGGATTCCACCTTCATGGGACTTGATGGCTAAACACATGTCCAGTGATGGCAGTCTATCTCAGTCCTATTATTAACCTTGGGTCCTGGACAAATTCTTATGCTTCTCCCTTTGCCACATCTTTAAAATGGACTAAGAAGGCCAGTGTTGGCGGTCACTGTAAGGGTCTCATGAGATAATGATGCGGGAGTACTTTGTCAATGAGCCCAGACAAGGCAGCTGGCGTCAGACCATTCCTGCTAAACATCCCAAGTCGACCCTTGTGCCAAGTCTGTCATTTAGATCAAAACAGGATGGATTCTCTGGCACACAGACCTGGGTCGCATTACTAATGACTGCAGCAGGGCATCTCTCAGGCCACCTCTCCATTTCAAGACACCATTTACAATGTGAACCATTTAAAAGTGGAGCTACTGCTTACACATGTAGCTCTTTGAACACTATATTTGGTATTACCTGGGGACGTAGTTAATATTTTTAAACATCCATCCCTTTTCTGATCAATTTGGGGGTCACAGTACCTTTATGAGAGCCATCGTAATCCTAGTCTCTCCTAAGGAAATGACCTAAACTAAGCTTGTATTATTACCATAGACACCCTTGTATAGGTCCCAAGTTTCTGAGCATCTAGGACTTGGTTGGTTGTCTCTTCCGAGTGAGTCCATAAAATCATACGTCTTTGTGATGGAAGAGAGATCAAGAGGTGAGTTTTTCTCTTTGGCTTAGTAGAGTGGTAGGCAGTCTATCCATTTCACATTTAAGGAGATTGAAACTCCCCTTCAACTCAAGTTGGCTTTGGTTTTGGAAGAAGTGGGGGCTTACATTCATTTGGTTGGTGATTGGAAGGGGCAAGTGAGAACTCTTTAAGGGGTTCACACTGACCGATTTCAAGAGCCATCAGGTGGACACAGGCAGTGAGTGGGTATCAGAGGGCTCTGAAATCTGCCCAGAGCTGATGAGAACAGGCTGCTTCCTTGGTCCTCTGTGTTCAGCGTCTTTGATGAAAGTGGAAAACTTTTGATTATTGAATGGAAGCTGTGGGTGTAGAAAAGTAAAAAGGCTTTGCTTGAAGTGCTGGTCTCCCTGAAGGCCCGTGAGCTGAGCAGGGCGATGGAAACAAATGTTTGTCTCACAGTTACCAGTTTTGCATACAGTACAATGTCCTGGGAGGTAAGAGCTGACAAGGGGGAAAAAATCACCTTCTGTTTTTATACAGAACCTTCAGAGGAGTTGAGATTTGAGAGCAATTTATATCAATAGCCAGACTTAACTCTGTTCCCAGTGACCCTCTCCACTCACAAACTTACTCCCTGTTTCCTTCCCCCGTTGATTTAAACTCCTCTCGACATTTCCTGCTGGTCCCGAGTCTGACCCACCCCTCGTCTTCAACAGCCATTGCCCTCTTGCCTTCAGTGAACCAATGTGCAAGTGGAAAGAGCCCTAACAGAGTTTCTGGTGGAGTGCTGTTCAAACTCTTTCTGGAAATGAGACTGTCTGAGGACTGTCCAAATGTAAGACAGCAGAGGCAAGACAGTAAGAAGGGCTGGGTCCTTCCTGCATATTCACTCTTTCTGGCCTGGGGTCACTCCTGGATGGAACACATTTGGGAAACGTCCGATGTAGCCTAAACCCCTCCATTTCTCAAACGAGGAAACCAAAGGACTGACTGCACATTGGCAGAGTTGAGGTAGGCTTTGAAGTTCCTTCTGGACATTCTTACCCCTATTTTGCTCCCACCCCTGTGCATCTGAGCTTCTTTGTGTGTTCTCCTCACCCTTTGACTATTTCAGATCCTCTGCCAGCCTGCCCGATCTCCTCCCGTTACCGTAAGCCTCTCCAGATCTCTCGAGTTGACCAACACCCTCCAGACAGAGCATTCTACAGGATACGCCCTCGTCATGCCACACATCTCAGGATCTATGTGTCTCGGCTCCCAGCTCGAAAGTGTGTGAACACATGTGAATGTTTCCTTCCTCGTGAGATTCAAAGTAATGCTAAAGGCAGGCTGCACCTACCTAGTCCTTTTTCTGAGTCTTTGCTTGAATTTGGTGATGGACCATGGTCAACCCTCAATAATGCTGCTGCGGAGAGGGAAGGTTCTAGAAGAGTGGTTCATACAAAGAAAGCATTCATGTGATAACATCGTTTTCTCTTATTCCTCATCTGTCTCCATTGCCCTCATCTTTCTCCAGTTGGTTTACCCGGCTGCCCACTTGCCTCTGCATTCCCTTAGGGCAGCAGTTCTCAACCTGTGGGTTGCGACCTTTTCACAGGCTCACCCGATTCATAACAGTAGCAAAATGACAGTCATGAAGTAGCAACAAAAATAATTGCATGGTTGGGGGCTCACCACAACATGAGGGACACTATTAAAAGGACTCCGCCTTCGGAAGGTGGCGAACCACTGCCTCGGGGTCTTCTGAGCTTGACGACCAGCCTCTGCCATCCTGTGGTTAGTGACTGCAGTGAGGCGGCAGCAGCAAGGCGCAGTGAAGAACCAGAACTAAGCTCTCTGCCCTTCAACTGGGAACACTGTTTCAACACTATGAAGAGCAAGCCTCATCGCTTCCCCATATAAGGGACTGTGATGTGCAATCGCTGCCACGTACCAGCTTAAAAAGTTCATGGAAACATTGAATTAAACGATAATTGAATTTTCCTGTGAACTTTTGTATGCTTCCTTTTATATTCATGGTTCTCAACGTGTGGTTCCTGGATTAGCTGCAGCAGATTCACCAGAATCTCACCAAGCATCTCACTCTAGACCTATGAACTCAGAAACTCAAGCGAGGGCCTAGCAATCTGTGCTAACAAGCACCGCCGGGACTCCTGATTCCTGAAACCACTTGAGAATCATTAGGATATGAAGACAAAACAACTCCCCAAGCATTTCACTTCCCAAAAGAGCCCTCAGGAGCTCATCTTGTCCAGACCCCATCCTTGGAGCAGCTAAACTACACCCCCTACGATGCAGACGCGACAACAGAGACGTAGAGAAGCTGTGATTCAGGGCCATGTAGCTGTCTCGAGTGGACACAGACTTGTTTTTCTACCCCTTGACCGAGCCCTTTATCTAACCTCAAATGTAGCTGAAGGCTATGAAAATACCATTGCAGATGAAGAGAGATATATTTGCAAGAAAATGGAGATAATTTTACTTATCTACATTTTTCTTGAAGTGTTCACTATTAGTAAGAAAACACACAAATTTTTTTTAAAGCCATTTGTGTACACAAGGGGAGAATTTCCCCGGGTACTGCAAGCAATAAAGTTCTCAGCTGTACTGCTCTTGGCAGAGGGGGCTTCCCCGTTGATGAGAGAGCCTGTCTTGTTGGCCCTAACTTGAGGCAGTGGGGATCAGAGTTGGGTCAGAGTCCCATTTACTGAGTGGAGCCAGTGAGGGCAGGTAATATTGAGAGCAGTGCTATTGATCCATGGCTATGCTCATTTGGTTCTGTGCTGTTTGTAGCTCCATTGACACGACAACAACAAGCAGAGTTGAAGAGTTAGGACTAGAAGCCTCAGGACCAGTGACGTCTAAAATATTTTCAGTGAAACCCCCGAGAACTGGGGGAAAACGAACCTGGTTGAAAACGAACCTGGTTTCTACGCGTCTTGCATGTTTACACCTTGTACTAGGGTCCCACATTTCGCAATTAGCAGAAAGCACTTGAGTTTTCCTTTCCTGATTGGTTCCTGTCTTGTT